TTCAGTTAGAGAATTGTCCAGAGAGGAAGTGGTATCCCTTTAATACTGAAACAGTTGAATCCAAAACTGTTGACTGCTTTTCCCCTTTTCCCAAGTTAGCCTGTGAGGAAACTTACACTCTTTGTATCTGGACCTCTAGAGAATGCTTTCTCTTTTTGTATCCTCTTCTGTTTTTTCCTATTCAAATGTCTTCTTTCTTTCTTTCTTTCTTTCCAGTTTCTCATCTTGTTTTTTTCTCCCTTTGATTGGAGAAATGAAATAAGATGATGATAATTAACTCGGGTAAGACAAACTACAAACCAAAGAAATAATGATAAAGTGTGGTAGCACAATACACCCCGGAGAACAAAATGTATTTTACTTAAATTTTTGTGGTTTCTTTATTTGAAAGTCTACTCAAGTATCAAACACAAAGAATGTGTTTGTCTACTATATCTGAAAGGAGAGTGATGTCTCAGAGATCTAGTCTGCAAATGAGGGATAAAACTCTTAAATCTCCTTATTTCGAGTTTGAGAGAGTAAACTTATATGTAATGAGTATATCTTATTCATACACATATGTATGTCTAGCTACACATGTATGTGTAACCTGGTCATCATGCCTGTAATATGAGGAAGGGCGTGCCACATGCAGTTGATTTCCAGAAAAGTGCAGTCTAACTGCTAGCCAATCCCAGACATGGAGTCCCGAGTATGGTGCAAAACATTTATTTTCTTGTTCCCATAAGACAACTGGTTCTCAAACTGTGGGCACTGGACTGGCAGCATCAGCTTTAGTTGGAAACTTCTTAAAATTGCAAATCACAGGCTCTGCCCCAGACCCACCGCATCTGAAATTCTAAGGATGGGACCTAGCTCTCGGTTTCATCAAGTCCTCCAGGTGATTGTGATGTGCCCTAAAGCTGGGGAACCACTGGGAAAGGCAGCCTTTCAGGTCTTACAGAATCCACCAATGTGGATGGACTTCCCAAAGTGCCTGCCCTTCTCAAGTGTTCTTGCTTTCCTTTTCTAACACCTTTCACTTCTCACAGTGTCCTAGCTCCATTGTGTCTCAGACTGAGGTACCCTCAAACTCAGAGCCCCAGTAGCAGCTCCTACACACAGAACTTCAGGATCTGGTGCTGTCTTGGTGGGCGCAACTGTCGACCTTTATATTCCTCAGTGAAGAGCACCTCTGGCTCACTTTTTAGTATTGATCACTTCTCCTAAAACTGGTTCAGTGCCTTATTGTGTAAAACAGTTCACTTCCCAGTAGTGATCAAGACAAGAGGACTGAGATCAACAGCCTGTCACATATGCTGTAAGTGGGGCAGCGGTATTGGGACAATTCTGGTTTATTCCCCCTCGTTCCAGCACAGTTGACAGTACCATTCTCTTTCACTCTTTTAAGTACTCTAGTTTAGATGGTAAGTCATAGTACAGTGAACTTAAATCATAAGCAGTTCTACCACTATTGGAAAGTGGTCAAAGAAGGATTCACCAAGAAGGAGATGTTTTAGGGCATAAAAATGAAAGATGTCCAAGAGGTAGGCAAGACAGGCCTGGAGCTTGGGGTGGGACAAGGCAGAGAAACCTTAGAGGCTGAGGGTTCAGGACAAATAAGGATGTGAAGCAGCAGGTTACACTAAGGGAAGCGGAAGTAGTTCAGAGTCTGGAGCCAGGGTCTGGTGGGAGCAATAGAAGAAGCTGGCGGAAGAGGAGCAATTAAGGTCATCTTTTTGTTTGTTTGTTTGTTTCTTATTCCCGCAACAATGTATCGATTTAGGCTCTTGGGATAATTATTTAGAAGAAACCTAGTATGTCTTTGTTTCCTTATTTATGTTGGTTCTATGTATTTGAAATGCTTATTGCTCTATTTTCCATCAATTTGGGGCCCTCTTTCAAACAAACGATTACTGTATAAACAGCATAATAATAACGTACTTTCAACTTTGGTTCAGATTTTCAAATTCACTTTAAAAAGAGATACCAAATCATTCACATTCCATAATGTTTTATGGCTTTATCATAGCAAAACACTAACCCTGGACTATTGAGATCTATGGCCTGTCGAGAACAGAGTGCAGGGAATTATGCAAATACCTTACTAATATGCTGTGTTATTGTTTTTCTGAATGTTAATATGATGATTGAATCCTCCTGTTAGAAAATGATCGTATAGGAATTCTTTCTGTCACCATTTGCAATACAGAAATTATGTGTTTCGTGTAGTTTTGTGATCTTGGGAGCTGCTTACAAAGTCTGTGTTCTGTGGCAAAGCTTACCTAAACCATAAGGAAATGTTTTTAAATATTTTAAAAATTGTGTATTTGATTTTACACAATTAGTTAATGTTGCTCTTTCTTTGTTGTTGATGAACTCAGAGATGTTTTCAGCATTAATAGACCTTGGAAGGCTTTGCCCTGGACATTGCATATCAACTGTCCTCTTAGGCCATCGAGTATCATTGTCTTCATCACATAGACTTCTTGTCACTGTCCGTCTCTGTTTCTGTATGGACAGTATAGATTTCATTCCCTTCCTTCTTTCTTTTTTACCAGAGCTAATATTATCTCCTTTTCCCTCTACCATCTGGAGTAATAAATTTTAAGAAGATAACCTTCATTATTCCATTAATTGTTGCATTTTCCTACTATTGATACAGAATACGTTTCAGGATTAATAGCTGTCTAGAAAGGAAAAAGAACAATTGATAAATTCCTACATTATCCTTTGTTTAAATATCACATAAGTAGTATATTTATTAATACATTTAGTTAGGTAAATAGGCCTTGAGGACAGGTAGCAATTAATATTATGGGGTTTTTTTTAAATCAATTTATTTATTTATTTATTTTTGGCTGCCTTGGGTCTTCGTTGCTGCGCACAGGCTTTCTCTAGTTGCGGCAGATGGGGGCTACTCTTTGTTGCAGTGCATGGGCTTCTCATTGCGGTGTCTTCTCTTGTCGCAGAACACGAGCTTTAGGCACGTGGCTGCAGTAGCTATAGCACTCAGGCTCAGTAGTTGTGGCGCACGGGCTTAGTTGCTCCGCGGCATGTGGGATCTTCCCGGACCAGGGATGGAACCCATGTCCCCTGCATTGGCAGGTGGATTCTTAACCACTGCGCCACCAAGGAAGTCCTGATATTATGTTTTAATTTTTTTTTAATCTGTAATAAGTATAGCTAACTGAAATATGGGTTTAGCCTGGTCTCCTGTACTAAGATATATGTGAGGGGATGTTAATTATTCAGTACGCCAAAGGTTGTCTAATTTTTGTTTTACTTTTTTAAAACGTCATATACTTTAAATTGTATCTCATATCAACATGTCTTTAGGGTTAGGGTCTACATGAATTTCATAAGTAATGTGTTTTTCTGTTTATCAACATAACCATTTACAACTCTGTTTTCTTAATAATTTTCTGACCCAACAATTATATTTGTTTTGGGAGATGAGAAAGGTGCCAAATGTTAGGTGACAAACTAGGAAAGTTATGTAAAACTTTTTGTAGAAAGAACTGAAGGATCTCCAACTCCTGGTCTGAAAGTAGGATTAAAATCCTAGGCCTATCTTTACGCACCACTCTTTACCAATTGAAGTTTAGAAACGGTTTAGTACAAGCAGTGGCTGTGGTTTATTATAAATCTTTAAAACAGAAAACTTCCTCTGTATTTTAAGAACTGGTCCTTTTAGGTCAGAAGACAATTTGTAATATTTAGTAGATAAACGCTAAGCGAGGGACTCACCGTTTGTAAAGTTTTTCAGTTTCCATGTATGCCTAGGACTTGCAATCATTTTCCTAACTATTTTTCATGTTGTTAAAGTCTTGAACTTTAAGCAAACAAGAATCTGAAAGTAAAGAGAAATAATAAATAGAAAACAATTCTATAAGCCTGTCAATTGCATGGGTGGTTTCTGCGTATCTCTGTCTTCCCTTGATTTGGTTTTCATTTGATTATCTGTATCAGACAAGGCTTAACATCATTACTTTTGCTGCTAGTAAATCCTTAGCTATGAAAAAGCAGCCTGCTCTCTCTGTTTGCATGTTTACAGCCTTAAAATTGGGGCCAACTTTTATGTTGTTTTCTTTGCCTTTACAATATGATTCTAGGATAGCATCATATAACAGTTCTCGAGATACAGTTTTGAAGAATTGTGTGGCTCTATCTGCAATAATTCTAACCTTGCAAAGCTGACCTGAAAGTAATCTCAGAAATCTGTATTTGTTAATATTCTTCCGTGTTTATTAGTCAATCTATAAGTTAATGCTAAACCAACCTTTCTATGTTCTTCCAATAATTTTAGTGTTACTTAAATATAAGAAATAAATATATCTTAATATGGGTAGCCCTGTTTGTGAATGTGCATCAGAGACAAAAACTGTTTAAAGGACCAATAATTAAAATCAATTCAAGTTATATTTGTCATATATCTTTTTTTCCTACAAAGCAACTCTCATCTTAGGATCTCAGAGGTTTATAGCTAATAATTAAATTTTATACTAGTGATGCAACATAATGATTATAGTGACTTATATAGGTGAAACAACTAATGTTTAAACTCGTTAATGGGTGACTTACTGAAATATATTGCACCCGAGCTGTAGATTCAACAGAACTAATATAGGGCCTTAATCCCCAAACTCTTTGACCATCAGCAAACTAAAATCTCCCCCATAGTCTTTTTTATATTGCTTTACTTTTTAAAAACATTTTTACATATCTGTAGTATATCTTTAAATTTGTTCATTTTATTTCTTGCTTCAGTAGTCTTTGCAGGATTTTTAAGTAAAAAAAATTGTTAATGTACCAGATTAGGTACATTGCGATGCCCTGCAATTAAGGGAATGGTATATAAAATATGACTAAATAATGAGCACGTAGATGCACGGTACACATAAATCTTAGCTTCGTATCACGCTTACCACTGTTCTTACGTTTTTCTCTAAAGCAGCTTTAGTTGTTTCACAGGATTATTATTTTCCAGTTTTCAGCTCACTTGACTTCATGCTTTGCAGGTCAGTTTCTCCTTGAAGAAGCTCGCCTCATAGAAGCAGCTGAGATGGCAAAAAAAGCGGCTGAGCTCGATAGCACGGAGTTTGATGTGGTCTTCAACGCTGCCCACATGCTCAGGTTAGTTTTTGCTACTGTGCCTGAGAAGACCAACACTGTAGCTTTATTCTTATTAAATTAATATAATATAATTAAATCAATTATACTAATTCCCCTTATATGTCACCTTATTCCATATTCTAAAAGTGAATTATGCTGCTTAACCATGTTAAAATCAGTCAGGACTGTTTAATTCATTATAGTTTATGTGCACAGTATATAGGGTATATGAACTTTTAGGACTCTGAACATTATTCAGGCCCCTTTTCTCTTTCCTTCAAAAATTATTGGCCATAAAATACAAAAGGAAAATTGCAAAATTGAAATTAGTAACTGTCTAATTAAATGTTTCCAAGATAAAACATTATGTCAGTTAGTCAACTGCATCTCAGTATCTGTGTTTTTGTATTAATTATATTGAATGGGTCATGTGGACACATTTTATTATGCTTGGTAGTAGAGAGGATTATCAAATACAAATATACTTAAGGCCTATCAAATTCTCAAAATGGCCCTATAATTAGCACTGTTGCTATGTGTTAAAACAATATACGTTTTTAGACCATTAGTGCATCTGTTTTCAGAAAGACTATTTTGAAGGGTAATTACAATAATAGCAAAACAAAAGGCAGATGAACAGTTTTTTGTGTGAATATAAAATGAAAGTCAGTGCATTAAAGGAGGATTTTTTAAGAAACTCCAATGATTTATACAGTTGTTTAAAAAGCATTGTTTGTTCTGTTAGCCGTACATATACCCCTTCGCACATGCTGTTACCTGAATTTCACTCTGTTAAATCTCCACATAAATGCTTCCTTGGGTGACATTGACACTATGGGCTCTGAACTTGGCTTCTAGGGGCAAGTTTCTAATTATGTAGATTACTCTTACATGGGAAGAAAAATAGCAGAGAATTGGTTCACATTTGGATGGTTTTAAAACATGGACTTTTTGAGGAAAGTAGAGGAACATTTAAAAAAAATTTTTTTTGAGATCATTGTAGATTTGCATGCAGTTAAGAAATAATACAGAGAGATCCCTGTACCATTTATCCAGTTTCCCCAGTGGTGATATCCTGTAGAACTACCATACAGTATCAAAACCAGTATTTTGACATTGATGCAGTCCACTGGTTTTATTGGGTTTCCCCAGTTTTAGTTGTACCCCTGTGTGTGTCTGTGTGTTTTTAGTTTTGTGCACTTTGATTACGTGTATAGGTTTGTGTATCCATCAGTCAGTCAAAATACAGACTGTTGGGCTTCCCTGGTGGCGCAGTGCTTGAGAGTCCGCCTGCCGATGCGGGAGACGCGGGTTCGTGCCCCGTTTCGGGAGGATCCCGCATGCCGCGGAGCGGCTGGGCCCGTGAGCCATGGCCGCTGGGCCTGCGCGTCCGGAGCCTGTGCTCCGCAAATGGGAGAGGCCACGACAGTGAGAGGCCCGCATAACGCAAGAAAAAA